AGAGAGAGAGAGAGAGAGACAGTAGCAGCAGCAAGGGCGGCCCGGCGGCGCTATCTGGCCGTGGGTTCGGCAGCCATGGCAACTGTGACAGCCCTGTTGCCGGCAGCGGAAGGAGGGTCCAGGTCCACTTGCGGGCGTCGCTAGGCTGATTCACGAGGGCGGTCGACCTGCAGTTTGGGGTCAATGTGTGTACGACTTCGGTCTCGGGGATGTCTGCGTTCCCTAGTCATTCAGTGTATGTATGCTTAAGGGATTATTCTCCATTTACTTCTATTTATTATTTATTCACTTATTTATTCACTTATTTATCTATTTATTTATTCACTTATTTATCTATTATTTTATTCACTTATTTATCTATATCTATCTATTCATTTATCTATATTTATAGGTGCAAGAGGATTGGGGCGGGTGTCATTTCGTTATATGCCGAGACTTTATGGGGTCACTCTATATGGGTTTTCTGGGGTCACTCCGCTTTCAGTTCGAGAGCCTTCTGCTTGGGGTTGCTCTTTCAGGGTTTCAGGTCCACCGCGGGGGTTCCCAAGGAAGCCCAGGGGAGGTGAGGTGACGTTTCATGGGAGTGGTAATACTGATCAACAATTGGGAGCGACTTCTGTAATTTACTGTTATTTCTTTCTCTGGTTGTTCGGTTCATATGGATGAGTGACTTCCCAGCGCGAGAGACGTGTCTTAGGAGTTTCGACTTCCATCTTTATCGGAAGTATAGATTTGATCGAAGTGCTGTTCAAAAATCTCATTCGTTTTCGTTCATATTTTTTTTTACAATTGTCTCAAAGAGCTCTTTCTTTACTTCACTTTGCTTACTTCCCTTAACGCATTTGGTTCGATAATTATAAGATAGTTATCAGCTATTTCCTTTAACATATTCAAATATGGAATTACTTGCGTTTTGTTTCTTTTCTATTTTTAGTCCAACATTTCCCAGTCAAGGCTGGGAACCTGTGGTCGACAGATTGGCAATGGCAGTGTTCATTTTTATTATTATTATTACCATTATTCTTTAAACTATCATCATCACGAGAACTTATCATTCTTACCATTATCCTTATTATAATTATCCTCATCGTCACTAATGTCTATACCATTCATACGCTGATAACTATTATTGAGGTTTTGAAGAGCATTTCAGCACGACGTTGGTCTCACGCCTACGTACAGCTCAACACACATTGTATAAAGGGCCATTCTGTGTCCTTTGAGGTCAGCTTCATTTTACGAACGGCCTCTCGACACCATTCCACTCACTTCAGATAAAACACGTCACATGAAGGGCCATTCTATGCCTTTTAAGACTACTCCTCCTGGTCCAAGTTGGAAAGCGTCACTCGGCCAAAATATATCTTCAGTGTGGAGTCTCGCTTTCCTCTCTCTCTTCGGCTTATTTATTCACTTCTTTATTTTCATTATCCTCATTATATACTTACTTAATTATTTTCTCTTCGGCTTATTATTCACTTCTTTATTTTCATTATCTCATTATATACTTACTTAATTATTTATTTATTAGTAGTATTACTTCTTTTTTTTTTGGGGGGGGGGAACTTCCTGGTACCCTTGTAGATGTACTTGCCTGCCGTGCACCTCCCCCAAATCCCAAGGGGTCGTGCACGCAGAGCTGCATTTACTGGTTGCGGAGGCGGTGGGGAGGGGTTGGGGTGAGTGGAGTTCCATGCTCCGTTAGAAGGAGGGAAGGGGAGGGGAGGGGAAGGGGGAAGGAGGGAAGGGGGAGGGGAGAGAGGGAAGGGGGAGGGGAGGAGGAGAGGGGGGGGATGGCCATGCACTAATGGAGATAAGGGGGGGGGGGGGAGGCTTGATCCACGTGGGAGGGAGGGGTTATGTACGGGGAGGGGGGTGTGTGTAAACCATGTTATGAATTCCTCTTGAAAAACCGACAAGCTGTGTACACATTCTTGTGTGTAGGCACAGGTGCGTTACAACAGCTGCGCAGACAATGTGTGTCCGTGTGAGTGTGTGAATGTGTGCGAGTATGCGTGCATGTGTGTGCGTGTGTGGTGTGGGGGGGGGTGAGTGGGCGTGTGTGTGTGCGTGTGCGTTTGTGTGTGTGTGGTGTGTGTGTGTGTGTGTGTGTGTGTGTGTGTGTGTGTGTGTGTGTGTGTGTGTGTTGTTGTGTGTGTGTGTGTGTGTGAGGGAGGAGGGAGGGAGGGAGGGAGGGAGGAGGGAGGGAGGGAGGGAGGGAGAGAGAGAGAGAGAGAGAGAGAGAGAGAGAGAGAGAGAGAGAGAGGAGAGAGGAGAGAGAGAGAGAGAGAGAAGAGAGTAGAGAGAGAGAGAGAGAGAAAAGAGAAAAAAAAATAGAGAGAGAGAGAGACGGCGCAAGTATTTGTGTACTTGTGAGTGAGCACGTAATTTTCCGTTTTTGTGAACCCTTGAGACGTGTGGGCGTGTTTGCGGGCGTGTCAGTATACCGGAGAGCGAGCGTGGAGGTGTGAGTGAGTACGTGAGTACAAGCACGCGAGGGTGAACACACTAGCTATGACGACGGGATGTAAGGAGGGAGGGCGGGAGCAGCCGGAGCAGGGGGGAGGGAAGGGAGGGAGGGGGGCGGAATGGGGGTAGGGAGGGGGCGGAATGGGGGGAGGAGGGGGCGGGTAAGGGGGGAGGGAGAGGGAAGGGGATAAGTGTGGTGGAGGGGAGAGGGAGGAGGAAGGGAGGGGAGAAGGAGGAGGAGAGGGAGGGGCGAGCGTGAGACACAGAGGGAGGGGAGGGGAGGAAAGAGCAACGGGAGGGTGGAGAGGGAAAGGGTGGAGGGTGGTAGAGAGTGGATCGGTGAAGAAGAGGTGGGAGAGAGGGGAGGGGAGGGGGGGGTCGAGACGAGACACCGCGTGCCAGTGGTACGACGACAGCGCAAAAACAGGTTGCTGAATCACCCTTTACCTCCCCCCCCCTCCACGCACTCCCTCTTACCCTCCTCCTCCTCCTCCTCCTGCCCCCCGCCCCCCCCCAAAAACACCCCATCCCCTACCCGCCCCCCTCCCTCAAACGCAAGCATGTAAGGAACCGTTACTCCAAAAGCAAATTTCTCTCCATTCCCTCCTTCCTTCACCCTTAAAAAAACCCTTCACCCTGAGACACCAGTCAGTCTATCGTAGGCACCGGGGAGAGGGGGTCGTTGCTCCCCCTGGGTCGCGGCACACCTGCCACGGGGCGAAACACCTGCGCGGGAACAGGTGTTTTTGAATGGGGGTGATGGGGGGAAGGCGAGGAAAAGGGGGGGGAGGGAAAGTTGGAGGGGAGGAACGAGGGATGGAGGAGGGGAAGAGCGAGAGAGGGGAGGAGCGAGGGGAGGAAAGGGAGGGGATGAGGAAGAGGTGGGGAAGGGAAAGAAAGGGAGAGGAGGAAAGAAAGAAGAGAGAGAAGAGAGGGGGGTGACAGAAAAATCGGAGGATGTGTGTTGTGTGTGTGTGTGTGTGATGTGTGTGTTGTGTGTGTGTGTGTGTGTGTGTGTGGGTTGTTGTGATGTGTGTGTGTGTGTGTGTAAGAGAGAGAGAGAGAGGAGGAGAGAGAGAGAGAGAGAGGAGAGAGAGAGAGAGAGAAGAGAGAGAGAGAGAGAGAGAGAGAGAGAGAGAGAGAGAGAGAGAGAGAGAGAGAGAGAGAGAGAGAGAGAGAAGAGAGAGAGAGAGAGAGAGAGAGAGAGAGAGAGAGAGAGGAGAGAGAGAGAGATGAGAGAGAGAGAGATGAGAGAGAGAGAGAGAGAGAGAGAGAGAGAGAGAGAGAAAGTGAAAGAAAAAGAGAGGAGAAGAAAGAGAAAGAAGGAGAAATAGAGAGAAAGAAAGGGAGAAAAAGAGAGAAAAGAAAAGAAGAGAAAGAGAAAGAGTAGCAAACATTCAGAGCTGCATACTAAGGTTGAAAGGGGAGGATGACATGGTTCTGGTGCAGCGCGCAACCACCCTCGCCCACCCACCCACACCCACCCACCCGCCCTCCTACCCACACCTCACCCACCCTTACCTACCCACCCACCCACACACCGCAACAAGCCCCGAGATAAGGCATCTACACTTAATCAGACGCTGCAAGAATTCGGCCAATCAGCGCCTCGCCACGAGTGTACGCTTATC